GGTGGGCTCTGAAGGGCCCTGCCCACCCAAAGCATTCCAGGATTCTGTGATCAGTGAGCGACCAGCAGCGATGATGCACCGCTTCTAGGTACTAACAGTTCACTTTAGGAAATGTCAGAGATGTTCCTGGAGCCATAGTGGGTGCTTCAGAGCAAGACCCAAGTGGAAGTTTCCAAAACTGGCACAGCGCATACAGACACCTGGGTCAGAAAATGCCGGGGCCCCTGCTTAGAGCTCCTGGGCCCATGTTTAAGATTGACCATGGGCTGAAATACCCTGGAAGCCCAGGGAGCGTAGGGAGCCCGAACGCTGAAGCATGGCTTCTTCACCCAAGAGCTCCTCTGCTTCTTTTCCAAACTGTGTCAGCTGCTGGAATGAAATACATTTTTCTTCTTCACGAGCTTTTCCTTTCTATAACCTTAGGCCATCACAGAGGAGCCACAGATCAATAAATACCCAAAAGACCGGTCAGTTGTGAGCCATGAAAAACCGTGCAGCAAATACTTGGAAGCTTTTAAGTGTCCCAGTGGTTGGCAACGAGCGTGTTTGCATTGCCCGAAGTGCGGGGCAGGTGATAGATAATCTGTAGGGAGGGGGGCTGCGACACTGAAAACTTTGCCATGATGTTGTTCAATGCACAAAATTTTCATTGCTTCCTTTCCCGTCGTCAGACCTTTATGAAAGGAGGGTTAGTGCCCCAGAAGACCTTATCTTCTCTCAGAGTGTTTTATTTTGGATTAATTTAGATTGTTTGAGATTAAATGAGTGTTCTAGGAAGAAAAATGCATGTAGTTCTATTACTGTTTGTTTTAATTTGCCTAATCTCCATAAGGCTTTCATCTTTGTCTCCTTGCCTGATGGAGGATCTACCAAGTCCACTTGAAATCTTGTTGTGATAGAATCTCTTCTTTCTGGAGCTTTTTCTGAGATTTTTGCTATTTATTTTTCTTAACTCACTAAATAGTATTGCAGCCAAATTAACCTCTCATCTCTAGATTAAGGCTGCTTCGCCTTTTGACAAGGCGTATGCGCTGAGTTGGTGCTGTCGCAGTACGTGGATAGATGGTCTGCTGATGCAGCCACCCGTGCTTCGTTAGGATGAGCAGAGGTCAGCGCAGCGTCCTGCAGACCTGAATGCTGCGTGACTTTTGAGATAGTTGGTCTCGTTATTTGCTTTTTACTTCCTTACAAGCAAGTTGCAGGTTCTGCTGTGACAGGCAGAGACTCATCTGACTCCTTAAGGGGGGGACAAAAGGGGGAAGAAAAGGAAAAGAAAAAAGAAAAAGCTCTGAGAGGACAAGTTTTCAATCTGTGTCTGTGTTCAAAATTCTTGGCAGGTGAAAAACTCGACAAACTGAGCAACCCCCGAAACATCAAGTCCCCAGTGTCAAAGCTTGGCGGTGCCATGTCCGGGCTGCCGATGCTCCCCGAGTGCACCCGCTGCGGGAACGGGATCGTGTAAGTGTCGCGTCTCGCCGGAGCCTCCGGTTTGGTGGGGACGGTAGCGCAGGGACGTGGCGGGGTCAGGTCCTACCAGACGCGGGGGTTAGAACTTACAGCAGAATACCTTGCGTTTGTAGCAGAATACCTTGAATCCCTTGCTGGGTTTTGCTAACAGGATATAAACCTGGAATTGAGGGATACGGTTTGGATTGCCCCTTTTAAGGGAATCTTGCAGCAAAGCAGGGATGATTCATGGGATGGTTTCTGCCCTGCTTATCATAGCAACTGCCCAGGGACTATGAATAGCGCTGGCAGCGCTGGCACTCTTTCGCTGCCTTATGGAAGGAGAAACGCTTCGAGGGTCAAGTAGAAGAGGTCTGCAGATTATTTTTGTTTGTTTAAGAGTTACTCTCTGACGGATGGATGCCGGGTCTGATTTCAGAGAATATAGGCATTTTTCTGCTTCATCATATTGCAATTTATGTTCTGTTGTCATTCACGTTCTGCTCGAGCCAGATTTGCTCCTGAGAGTCTGCTCTGCGAATGCCCGTAACCACGTTCTCGCTGGTGCTGTGCGCTGAGGGTCTCTGCTCCAAAAGTCGTAGTGCCCGCGTGTGCGCAGCCCCAGCCCTGCCAGCGGCACTTGGAGGATGCTGGCTCCCGATCCTCAGCTCCAGCCTGAGCATAGATATTTAAGGCTCACCGAGCCATGGAGCGGTGCAGACAAACCGCTGCAGGGGGTGCGGACAAACGGGGATGGAGCATCCCTTCCCACAGAAATACGGTGGAGCTGTGCCTGGAGCCGGGTGGCAGCTTTGGGTGGGCTGAGGTGTTGGGATGCGAACCCACGATAATGCCTTTGCGTGCCCCTACACGCCGCTTTCCTTCACTTAGTCCTTTCTGCTGGCGGCAGCAGGAAAAGCTGTTTATGCTCATGGCTTCTCCATCTCACCCGAGCTCTCCCCATCTCTCCCCAGGGGCACGATCGTCAAAGCTCGGGACAAGCTCTACCACCCCGAGTGCTTCATGTGCGATGACTGTGGCCTCAACCTGAAGCAGAGAGGGTATTTCTTCATCGAAGAGCAGCTGTACTGCGAGACGCACGCGAAGGAGAGGGTTAAGCCCCCCGAGGGATATGACGTGGTGGCTGTTTATCCAAATGCTAAAGTTGAACTTGTCTAAACCCAGGCTGTGCTCTGGAGAGGTCGGGCGGCCATGCGCCCACCCACGTCCTCCCCGCCGGCTGCGCAATGTGGCTGTAATCAACCCCGATTACCAAAGCCCAAGTTAAAATGCCTTTTCCTAGATAAAACCGTTTACACTTGGGATCTCCAGGGGATGGTGTTGAAAGCATACGAACAGGTTTTTCCCTTCTTTTTGACACTCCGCTTTTTGGGTTGCTGTGTTGGGTTATTAGTCTGTGCCATAACCTTATCCAAGATCTGTGTAAATATTGATTAATTCTCTACTCTGTTTCATATAAAACTTTTTTTTGCGTGTCGGTCCTCCCCCCCCGCCCCTTCTGGAAAAGTAAGATGTTTTAAAAGCTCGAAGAAAATAAGGCACTTTAACAAAAGAAGCTGACTCCTATATCCTGACCTTCATCTCCTGCCCTCCGGCTCCCCCGGTGATTAAAATCCAACCCCATGAGGGGTGTGGGACGTGGTACCGGTGGGTCGGTGTCCCCGGCTCGGCCCCATCCCAGCAGATATGCCGAGGGAGGGCGGGTGGTCTCTTAAAACAGTAATTGCTGTGGAATTCCCTGGGTCGGGGCACTGCAGTTTGAGGCTGACAGGGACCGATCCGAGTTCCCCGAGAGATCTCCACACTGAGCGTGCGACGAGGCTTTTTTCTTCCTCCTTTCACTCCTAATTCAGTTGTTCCCTGCCACCTAATCACCCGAGCACCCCTTCGAAGGACACTGAAACGGCACGGAGCCCACCTCAGCTATTCCCACCTCCCGCGCTCCCACCCCACGGCCGCCCTTGCTTCGGCCGTTCTGACTCCTTGCCAGCTTTTGCTCTGTTTTTGCAGCCCTTTATTTCTAGATCCCCAGACTGCTGCCATCTGGGTCCGCCTCGCAGCGGGGAGGTGGTGATGAAATCCCTCCAGGCTCTTCGGAAGGAACTGGAGCGGCGGCGAGCCCAGCTGTGAGCCCCGCGTCCAGAGGCAGCGGGTTCAGATTTATACCCACACCCCAAGGCTGCGCTTTCAGCCTGGTCCATCATCCACTTTATTTGCCGGGCAACGATTTTTGAGGATCTTGGCATGTTGCTTTGTTGGAAAAATGGTTTTTTTCATGTTAGTGTTTGGAGGAGAGTTTGGTCACCCAGCTGCTGGGTGCCACCACGCGTGGTGGTAGGAGCCGTGCGTTGGGTACCACGAGGTTACTTCTGCTTTGCGACAGCCTCCTTCCTCCTCCTCATCTGAGAGAGGGAGGATGTCGGGGAGAAAAAGAAATGTCTGTGCTCACTTCCCTTCCGTGGAAAAGGAAAATAAGAGATGGGGCGATGGCCAAAGCCCTCCTTCCCCTTCTGGCTCTCCGTAACAGCGGTCTGAGAAATCGGGGACTGGAGGAAGGTCGGGAGCATTATCCCGGCTGGGGCTGGGCAATTTCTTCCTACAGGTTCTGCACCCCAGAGGGAGCAAGGACTTGAGGGTCTCGCAGGGCCACATTTTAGACCTTTTCTTGGGGTGCCTCACAGGGATCTAAGCAGCTCCTGCCCTGTGTCCGGTAGGGCTGGGCTGCCCAAGCGTGCGTCCCGGCTGGGTACAGCCTTGCAAGCCGGAGGGACGCTGCCGTGCGCGTTCCCGCTAGCAGCAGAACGTCCACCTCCCCCTCCTTCTGCCAACGGGATTTTTAATTATTAAAGTGCAAGAAACACGTGGAAAATTTTATCCCAGCACTGAGCCTTGTTTTTCTCGTATTTGCATAACCTCGCTTGGTAAGTTGGACCATCTGAAGGGAAATACTTGGGACAACTGCAAATGAGGAGACTGACAATAATCAGGTGGGAAGTGTGAGTGCCCCTTGTTTGCAGGCCTCTGCTTGGAGCTTGTTAGTTGGCTGTTGTCAGAAACATGTGTTCTGAATTACTCCATTAGCCTTGTGCATTGCTGGGCCAAGCTCCAGTGCCCGTAGCATGAAATTTCAGGCTTCACCCAAACCCAGAACTGAATCCAGCTCAGCTGAGCGATGGAAAACTCACGACACAAATGGCCCTGGGGGGTTTTTCCCATTTTCCAGGGCAGGCGGTTGCAGCTGCCTGCCGGGGCTGCGTTCCGCTCTCCGGAGTTCTTGTCCCACGTTCGACTCCATCTGCGCAGCCGTTGTGTCCCGTGGGGATGCCAGGCATCTCACAGCCCTGGCACAGGGAGCACCTTCGAAATTCATAAATTGTTTCATTGCCCTCATTTTTGAACACCTAAGTGAGCGGGCTGCTGGCAGGACGTCCTCAGTGCTCTCCCCTGGCTGCTGCACCAGTACGGCACTGGGAGCACTGGGCATGGGGCTTTGCTTTTAATTTAAAACCCAAGTTCCCACAAATCAATTTTTCCATGCGGTCGTCTCGTGATACCCTTTCTTAGGAGTAACCAACTCATTTGATCCCCCCCGAGGAGCCTAAAGCTGGAGCCACCTTGCACAACCCCATCCCGGGGCACGTTGATTCCTGCCTTCAGGCCACGTCGTTCTCCTTACGGGGTTTGTAGGAGCTGCCGCCAGCGAGCCTCCCGTGTCACTGGGTAACGCTGTTTAACTCTGTAATACGCGGGGAGGGTGCCGTTCATATGAAATACAAAATAAAATGGTATTGTCAGTTTTATGTCTCGCGGTACTTAGCTTGGCTTTGCCTGCTCCCCCCCCGCCGTGTCTCCCGCGGCGACACCCGTACGTGCAGGGCTCCCTCGGCGTCCAGATAAGGAGGATAATCCCAAAGGATAAACTTTGAAAAGCATCTCGGAGATGGAGAGCTGCAAGGTTCCCTTAAAAGGGGCAATCCAAACCGTATTCCTCAATTCCAGGTTTTATATACTGTTAGCAAAAACCAGCAAAGGATTCAAGCCAGGAAACATGAAATTACGACTCTCCCCTTAATTGGTTTAGCGGTGGACTTGGTAGTGTAGGTTAATGGTTGGACTGGATGATCTTAAAGCTCTTTTCCAGCCTAAACAATTCCATGATTCCACCACGTTGTGCATTGAGAGCCTTGTTTGAGGTTTGGTCTGTGTTTTCAGGTGGTGTCGGTTGGGTTTCTTTTTAACTCCTGACACCTTCCTCGGGGCGCAGCGATGGGAAGGGCCATCGTGTTGCATGAGCGCCCGCGGGTGTCTGGCTCCTCTCCGCCGCTGTGACCCAGCTCATCCTGCGATGGCCCGGAGCTTTACTGCATCTGCCTGTGCGCAAGGCCGATGGATTGGGTTGATTAGCAGCGTTTAATCAGCCACGGTGCTGCTCCGAGGGCACCTTCTCCCACCTGATGGCCCTGGATGTCACCTGCCCCATCACCGTGGGAGGGATCCGGGCAGCACCCAGGCTGGAAAACACCCTTCTCCCCAAGGATGATGTTAACCGCAGTACAGCCGTAAGCAAAGAGTGCTCCCGAAAATCCCCTCACACGGCACCAGCTGCAGCACCGCTCAAGCCGGTTCCCCGAGCACTGCAGCCTCCGCAGGGAGCCCGGAGCTGCGGCACCGGCATGGCGGGGGCAAAACCCGGCCCGAAAGCCCTGTCCCGCCCCGTCAGGGCTGACCCTCGAACCACAAAAACCCGCTGGGTGGTAGGAGCACGGGGGACCACGGGGCGAGGGCAGGCTCGCCGGGGGTTAGCAGCTATGTCGGAGGGGATCGTTTGCTTACGTAGCTCAATCTCAGTGGGTCTGGGTTCCATAGCTGCCTGGTGCTCGATTCGCTGGTGTGTGGGAAAGTCAGCAGTAATGCGAGTTAAGTGCCTGCAACAGATATTTAATCTAAAAGGTTTTATTTGGAAAGCGTTCATATATGGAAGTCGTTGCTTGTACGTGCCTAAAAATATTTAAAAAGTCAAAGCCTCCGAGGATCCGCATGTGGCATGGAGGATTTTCATGCAGTTTGGGTCTGTGGAGCTCCATGTCTAATTAGTGCACATACTCAAATAATTAGCATGCTCACGACTCTCTCCCCAGTTACTGGTTTCTCCATCCACCCTTGGACGCGTACGTACGTCAGATGTGTTTATACATTACAGCCACCGCCGGCCCCTCTGCCCTGGGCACAGTGAAGCTTCAGCCCCACGGCCGAGCTCCGTGGGGTGACCCCCAAGTGTGGGACTGGGGAGGGGGACGCAGGGCGCCTGGGCAGCTCCGGGGCCCCTCCGAGACCCCCGGCAGCCCCGGCCCACACAGCAGCCGCCATCCGACCTGCCCAACCCCGGGAGCCTCCTCCAGGCTCCTCGCTGCTTTGGAAAAAACAACGCGTCGGATCAAACGCGATGAAGGGCAGCGTTTATTAACTCGATGAGGCGGGACCGGGGCCAAACCCATTCAAGTTCTAATTGTTTAACTTTTTCCATGTATCATCATCAAAGTTTCCTACTTAGCTGGGCATTATTTCCACCACCGCACCCCCTTTTTCTCTGCTCTTTTTGTTTGGAGTTGTTTAACTTTGCTTTTGTGATTGAATGGCTGCCCCAGGGAGCTTAAAAAAAATCTCAGCTGGTCCATTTGTATTCGGGTAAAAGGCCTTGTGCCATGGGAGGGGAGGTAGAGAGAAAGAGGCCCTTTGGAAAAGTTCCCTCTCCTCCCTTTCTCATGTGTGAAAGAGGCTATTTTAATTACTTCAGGGGGGAAAAAAAAAATCTTCCCCGCACATATAATAAAACAGGCAAAAGTGCTCCTGACTGGAAGGGCACTTACCTGCAAGTTATTTTGCCTCTCTCTTTCTCCCTGGGAAAGCACGGGCTGTTGGGAGACACCCCCAGAGCTCCCCCAACCTGGGAGCAGCTTCTCGCACGGGGACATTTAAATATTTTGAATTTTTTACACGCGAAGCAGTTCTTCCGTGCAGGGAGAGCTGGTGGGGAGGGCCTGGGCTGCGGCCAGCGCTGCTGCTTTGGGCAGCTGAGGGGCACAGGGTTGCTCTCCCGCTGTGCGAAGCCGCTGCTCAAGCACGCTTCAGACTTTTAGCTTTATTAATGAAAACGGCTA